CCTATCCAGAAAACTTTTGGCAAAAAATAAACAAATTAAACATCGACAATTCAGCAACACTGACAGCAGATATATCATACTTTAATATTTAGTCTTAACGTTTAACGTTTACTGATCTATTTTAGTGTCCTATGCCGTCAACAACTTAGACGAGACCTTTGCTTACTGCAACATTTTTAGGTGACTATAGTGTTCATTTTAGTTGACCATAAACTGTAACCTAAGCAATGGTTAGGCTAGAATTAATGGTACCGCTTCCCACTACTATTTTTGCATTCAGTTGCTTTTGGAATATTTTAGCAAAACGACAATCATGCTTGGATACAGCTTTTAAAACGAGCCTACAGAAAGCTGTAAATGCCAAATAATTAAATTAATAAGAGACAATTTATTTAGTGTGTATCAATATACAACTGCATCAATCTTCTTGATCACACTAACATAATGGATATTAAACATAAATTTATGCTTTTATTTGTGTATCGCACTAACTGAATTGTTAGTCTGAAAATTGTAAGGCGAAAAAAAAGGCAAAAGAAAGGAAGCTTGTTACGGAATAACGTCATCTATACTAATAGAGAATTTCAAAAATTGTGAAAAAAGAAAAACAGAAATAGAACAATTTTTAGACTTTTTATAAATTTTGTTTTTTTTTATAAATCCATAATTCGATAAAAACGCCATTCAAATGGTATGGAAATTAACAGTACCACAATCACTGATACAGTTAATGTTATAGCCAACAGTCGTGAATGTTCGTTCATCAGTATCAATAGAATACCAAATTGCAAAAGCAAAAATACAATCTGCAAATAATTAGTCAAAATAAAATCTTTAACCTTTACAACTTTTATCTCCTACTTTAATTATCTTTCAGACAAAAAAAAAGTCTATAAACAGAGAAATGAAATAGTTACAAACTGATAGATATATGAAAAAACTTGCCGAAAAAATAAAATGTGGCAACAGAAGAAGTGAATTGTCAAAAATTAGTGCAAAATGAAGCAGTGTTGTTAACGCTATCCAACAGAAGGTTAATGCCCATAAAACTGCAACAATTAATCTAAAAATTAAATTTGTAGTAAAAAAAAAGTTAAAAATTTTTCTTTTTTTTTTTTTT